TCATTATGGTTATTGGCGTTTGTTATGTAAATTTAGTGGGTGATGACTTTTAGTTCTACAAAACTGTTCTCCGGTGTTTTCTCATTTTCTAAACGTTCGACAGAATTGGGTTTTGCTTTCAAATCTTGACAAAGAGATTCAAAAAGAGTTTCCATTCTTCTTACTATTTTTTGAGAATTCACTGATTATATGGTACAAAAGATCATGTATCAAGGTTTGTTTATGGGACAGAGTAAATGAAAAAAAGTTCAAGACCGGAGATGCCATGTTCCTTCATGCATTGAATTTGGAGGACGAAATTCCAATTTTCAATGTTGATTTAAAAAACATATGAAAAAGAAGGTATTATAGTATGATGTATATCATCTTCAAAAAATCCCACGGAGATGGTAATGAAAGAACTCCATTGGTTGCAAACGTATCGAACATGGTTGCAAACAGTTTGGAGCCTCAAGGAGAGTAGATAGCCTAAGGTGGCGGTCTTTTTTTAAGGCCATGTGGTATAGTGAATGGTTTGTTCTAAGTTATACTTATAGCCAGAAAGGTTGCACCAACTAAGAGCATCTCCAAAAGACACTCTATAACTTCAAATATGAAGTTTTTGGTTCTCCAAAAAGGAACTCTAAAACTTCAAATTTGAAACTTCAAATATAGAGTGTCACTACTCAAAACTTCAAATTTGAAGTTTCATATTTTATTTGCATTTAGGTCCTTACAATTATACATTATATTTATAATTCTTATATATTTTATGGTTTTATCATTTTAACTCTTACAAATTTCTATCTCATAAATATTTCAATTTTTTTTTATAAATTTAAATTTTACATATATTTTTTATTTTTTTAAAACAACAAGATAAGATTTAAAATAGTGAAATTAAAGCTAGACAAAAACAATATTACAAGAGTTAATGTGGTATTTTATTATAGTTTAATATTTAATTATATATGAATTTTAACTAGTTATGACAAATAAGGACCATAATATAAAATACAAATAGTTTTAAAGTTTGGTTTGAAGTTTTGCTTTTGGAGTAGAACACCTACAAACTTCATATATAGAGTTTTGCAAACTTTAAAATATAGTGTCTTTTTGGAGATGCTCTAACTCTTACTTGTTTTTGCTCCAAAAAAAAAAAAAAAAAAATACTACTTGTGTTTATTTTCCAGATTTTGTTTTAATGTTTAACTAATACGTTATAACAATATTTCCCACTATATATGATTGGTACAAAAGTATGACTTCCTACATTCACACTATAGCAAGCGACGTCTTCCTCGCACCAAACCAAATCTCTTCAAAGGCCTCTCTTAAATAAATTGTCGATTTTTTCTTATAGCAAGTGGTGCCATAATCCTTTCTATCAAAGCTCTCGAAAGCGTCTCTTAAAAAAATGTCGAATTTTTCTCATATCCCCGGACTAATCATCATCTCTTAAGAGTCGTGTCTTTTCGAAGTGTTATATATTGCAGAGATTGTATACGTTGTCAGATTTTTATTGAGGTTTTCTTCCATTCTCTCCTTGGCTACTTTTCAGCCTCCCTGGATTGTTTGTCTCTCTTTTTTTGTTGCCATCTGTTGTGGAGTGTCCTTCCTCTATCCCTCTCTACTTTTCAGATAATTTAACTTTCGTATTCTGTCTCTGTTAAGTTTCTGATGAGTTTATTTTCTCTGTTAAATTTCTGCAATTTTCGACCTATTTCCCTGATGAGTTTCTGGTCAGTTTACTGTCTTGTTTCTCTTCATTTCCAATTTTTGTTGTATGTTAAGTTTACTCTCCCCTCTTGAGTTTTCTCATGTATTTCTCTGTACTTATCAATTTACTGTCCCTGTTAGATATAAACCACAATTCAGTACAAGTCTTTTCCTTCATAATAATGAGAATGTACCTTTCAAACTGGTTTGGCGTTAATATTGGAGAAACGGCAATGAATAGAAGTAGTATGTATATATGACTAAAAATATTCCAAAAGAAGAGATTTTATGTTGTACAGATTTTACTTGTATACCAATATTCTCCACAAGATAAATGCCAAACTTGGTGGACTAAGTTTAATGTTAACTATGGAGCTCTAACCAACATCGCATTTAGTAACTCAAGTGGCAAGTTCCTACCATCATTGTTGGGAAGGATGTATCCCATGGTTCTCCTGGCGATTCTGTCATACCATCACTTATAGCGGTTGTAAGTCATACAATGGGCACTTGTATAAATTATAGGGTATGTGTTTGTGCACAATCACAGAAATTATTTCATACCATCATTTGCAGCGGTTGTGATACAATGGGCACTTATTCCAGTTCTCTATGTTGATTTGAAAAACGTATGAAAAAGAAAGGTAGCAGTAACATATATAATATCCTCATTAAAAGGCATACAACATATGTAAAAAAATTCTTTATATGTTTTTTTTTAATTGTAATTAGTATAAACAAAAGTTTAGTCAAAAAAAAAATCATCATAATTTTTCAAAGCTCTAAACTATTACAAAAGATAGGTTTTTTTTTGTATTTCGCTGAGGAAATTTATAACAAACTCATGGTTCATTTTAAAACGTGGCACTAAAATAATCTATCTCGTCTTATTTAATGAGTAAATGATTTCTCAATTTTCCTTAATATACACATTTTATTTTAAATTTTATGAAATATTTTTTGTTAAATCTTTATTTAACTGTAATATGTTAGGAAATAGATACATGATTTAGTAGCTTAATTACAGAAATCATATAATAGCAACTGCATGTGGATTTTATAACTGAAAAATAAAAGAAAATAAAATAACTATTATTATAGAAAATTTTACAATGTGATTTCATCTTTTGTTTTTAACGATTTAACATTACAAAAAATGTTTTTGAAGAGTTATCACTTCTTACAATAATTATTTGCTATATATATGTATACATTTATTCATACTCTTTACTAATATTAAACCAAAATATATTTAAGAGATCGCATCATTTTCATCATATTTTCATATATATATATATATATATATATATATATATATTTGTTATTTTCAATTATTTTTTAAAAACGTATTTTCAATATAACTATAAAACTTATAGAAATATTTTAAATGCTAACTTGTATATATTACTATTGTTTGTTAAATTTTTTTTATATATTATTGTTAATATTTCCGTTGCATCTTTAGTTTTAATCATTATACTATTTACTAACCATTTCAAAATGTTTGGTTGTCAACCATTGCAATTGTTTGGTTATCAACATTGCAACCTTTGTGGGCACTAATAAATCACAACAATTATAGATAGACTAGAAAATGTAAAGATTTATTGTTAAATAATTTTCAAAAATCTTTGAAGAAAAAATTATAAACATAGAAAACTCTTTTATTATTCTTGTATCTTAGCTTAAGTTAGGCAATTTGATTGAGTAACCGATAAATTTCTAAATTATTTATACTTTTTCAAAAATACTATTTGCTGATCCAACAAAATTTCATAAAAAAATTCATAATTAATCTATCAATTTTATTGATTTTATTAATTATTGTATTAGTTTATTTAATAAGTGTTGTTGTTTTAAAGAACTTCCATGGAGTTCAAGATGATATTATAAACGAAAATGTCATATATATCAACATAAGTCAACATATATTTATTGTGTATTCAATCTTATTAATATTATTTCTCTCGAAATAAAGCAGATAAATAAGTATATATAATTTAAAATTGGTTTTTACCAATTTAGAAATAGTATAAACTAATAATTTTAATATTATCTCTTAAATATTTTAAAATAAAATTCATGAAAAAATTATTTAGTTTGTTCAAGAATTGGTTGGAGCTAAATCTCATGTAAAAATTGTAAGAAAAACTTTAAGAGGATGAAGACACAATTATATGCAAATTTGTTCTCATAAAAATATAATTGGAACATTAAGGTCTATATATAGATACTTTGTAAATGATATTTTAATTATCAAGATTAATTTGATTATTTATTAGACATAAAAGTTTATAAATTATAAATTATACCAGAATTTTATATAAAATGATTTTCCAGTACCTATTAGTTTATAATTTCAAAATTCAATAATATGGAAGAAGGATACACATTTTTTTGTTGACACAAACACACAAGCTTTACGTAGACGAGGATGCAAAATATACATTGGGATGGTGACATATACATTGGTATGGTGACGTGAAGCGAGGAAACTACCAGGAAGTCATCAAGCAACTAACTGAATCTTGGTTGGTAAGTCCAAAACCGAGTAAGACTATCGTTTTGATAATAGCCTTTCCTAATTTGGGAAACCAGCTTAATGACATTCCTCGTCAGTCATATGTCTTTACACAGTTTTTACTTACCTAAATTTTAAACTTATTGACTAAAGCAAGACCAATGTCAAGACTCCGGACGTCATCTATGATATTAAGAAAGACTTAATATATAGTTTACACGCTAGCTGTTTCCATGAGATACACGTTATGATGAACGCACATACTATATATATATAACATTACCCTTGTTGTTGAAGTTGTAAATTATACATTTTGTAGTAAAGCTTTAAAAAAAAACATAGATGCAAAGAGTGATAGAGATGATGAAGAGAGGTGAACTTGGTGTAGAAGAAGAAGAAGAAGAAAACGAAGCCTTGTCTCTCTCACATTCTCGTCTTCTAAACTCGTGGAGCCATGATAACAACAATCTCTTGCTTGGAGACTCTTCTTCGAGTGTGTCCTCTCTTCGATCACCGTCTGATTACTCCCTCTCAAGCTACTTTCCAAACGTAATGTCTGAAGGTTCCTCTCAGTTCACTTCTCCACCGTTGGATGCGATGATGGAGACGAAAACAAAGTATGATCATGATTTTTCTCTCTGTGAAAGTCTGCTCGGTGGTTTGAACATCAGAGAAGAAGAACCATTACAAACCTGTTCATCATCAAGTAACCTTCAACAATCACTCTCTTCCATCAAACTCTCCTCAGAGTCTTGGTGATTTCCAGGGATCTGTTTACTCGATGGCAATAACTCAGCATGGAAGCAAATACTTGCAGAAGATACTTCAAGATGGAACGTCTCTAGAGGCTATGGTGGTCATTTTCAACGAGGTGATTCATCATCTTGTTAAGCTTATGAGAAATCCTTTTGGGAATTACTTGGTGCAGAAGCTACTAGATGTTTGCAATGAAGAACAGAGAACAAATATCATACGCATTGTTACTTCACCACGAACACTGTTTGTCCAGATATCCCTTGAGGCTTACGGGTAAGAGATAATAAATCAATATAATCAACTTGATGTTATGTTAAAACTTCTATGTGTTTGACTGTTTTTGTGTCTTGTGTGTTGTGTTGAAGTACTCGAGTTGTCCAGAGATTAGTGGAATCAATCAAAACGACGGAGCAGATTCTTCTAGTGACATCAGCTTTGAGAGTTGGATTTCTCAGCCTGGCTACGGATGTGAATGGGAATTTTGTGATCCAACGTTGCTTAGAGTGCCTTGCTATACAAGATAAAAAGATAAAAACACACACACACACACAAGACCTTTCCATTTTTTTTACTCTTAAACACATCAAGAATCTCTGAGCAATTTTTGTTACCACTTTTTGTAGTTCATATATGAAGAAGCTACTAGGTTCTGCATAGATATCGCAACGCATAATTATGGATGCCCTATGCTACGAACATGCGTTGCTTATTCCACTGGACAACAACGAGAGACAATAACCGAAGTCTGTAGAAACAGTCTCAAACTTGCTCAAGACCCTTTTGGGTAAATATTAATAAGAACTAAACCTCTGAGTATTCACTATATACATAACCTACTTTCTTGTCAAAATACAGGAACTACGCAGTGCAATTCATTATAGAAATGAGAGATTTTCAAGCGAGTTAAAAGGGCACTATGAGGAGCTCTCAACGCAGAAATTCAGTAGCCATGTGGTGCAAAGATGCTTAACACACTATCCAGAGAGTCGTCCTCAGATAGTGAATGAACTCATCTCTGTCCCTCGTTTTGATCTTCTAGTTCAAGACCCTTACGCAAAATTTGTCATCCAAGCGGCTCTTTCTGTCACCGAGGTACAAGTTTTGAGACTTTCTTTTAACACTAACTTCTGATTGGAGGAGAGTGTATTAATTAATTGGATTATGTGGAATGAAACAGGGTTCACTTCATGACATGCTCGTTACGGTTCACTCGAATCTACGTAAAAGTCCTTAATGCAAAGGGATTTTCTGAAGTAATCTCAAGAAGAATTGAAGATCAAAAAGGTTCTAACCTCAGGTAGTGGTGGATGATTCAAAACTGTGTAACTTCAGAATGTGTTGTTGTTATCTTGTTCTCCAAGTTTGTTCGACGTACTTACTTGATCTCTCTAAGACAATATCTACCTCTACACAGTTCTCTTTTGTTTTGTTATTGTTGCATTGCATCTGATTAGTTCTTGGAAGGAAAATTTTTTGTTGTGGTGGGTATCATGAATTCATTCCAACGGGTTTCGTCTTACGAATCTATTGTCTTTTTGCGTCGTAAGTCAGTGGGTGAGTCTGTAATTTCAGAGTCTGTTGTCGTTTTCATGTTCCTAAAGTTTGTTCTATGAATAAACTCAAACCTGCTTAATGATCTCTCTAAAAACCTGACTCGTTTTCATGCTACCTCCCGCAATCGCAGCTTTTGTGGTTGATAAAGGTTATTGGTATTTTACATCAATCATAAAAAATGCTACAAACCGATTCATATCGCTTTAAACCTCTAAAATTCAAAAGCTGATTATAGCTAGAGTTTGCGATTGGGGGCTATTGCGGAAAGATAAAAGAAAAATTCGATTTTTTTTTATAGAAATATATAAATAATAATATTTTATTAAACCTTTAAATTGAAATAATGTTATATTTTAATTTATATTATAAAAATTTACAATAAAATATTTTTTTAAATTTTTATAAAGTTTAATATTATAATTTCATAACTATAATTGTTATATTTATTATAGTAGTATAATTTTTAATATTTTTGTAATTATATAAAATGTAAATTTTGTTAATTTATCATTTAACTGCTGCTACATTTTGGTAGTCAACTAGTTTAATGTAACAACAATTGTAGTTTATGCCTGGTCAACATATCTCACTTTATCTACAATTTATGATGAGGGTTGGTCCGCCCTACGGGCGGGATGTGTTACATTTATATTTTTTCCTTTTGAATATATGATTGTAAATATGCAAATCCAATGGTAGGAGTTAGTTTTTGTAGTTGGTTTGTTTATGTAAAGTTAAATCGATGGATGGAAGACTGAAAATGAAATTCATGTTCTTGAATTATTTATGAGTTTTTGTAGTTGGACTTTACTATTTAATCAAGTGTGGTTGTCTGCTTCATATAATAGAGTGCGATTTTGGTTGAGTAAGTGCATTCGTGGAAATAACATGAGTAATTAGATCTTTTAAGGCGTTCATGTATTCTCATGTCCTGGAATTTTTTTCAATCAGATCTTTGGATCTAAATCATGGGAGGTGTTACTTTACTTTTTGTTTAGTTGTTAGTTCCATCCAAGGTTTAAAATTTTCTTATCTTTGAATGTTGTTTACAGACTAAGCTACTTGAAACATAGATTGTAAAACAGAACACAACATTCTTTTAAAATTAGTGTGGGACACTGGGACAAATATTGTAGCTAGCCATACTTGAAGGACAGCTCCATAGCATCAAGTCCTCTTTGAAACCAGTGTGAGACACTGATTCTGAATCTGCCTATCAATAATTTTTATCATTGCAGAGGCCAGATAAAACTATATTTGATGTTAAAGACGTCTTCTTTTACAAAGTGTAGCCTGCAGCGACAAATAATGGCATCTCCGAGAGAGAATCCCAAACTCTTGGCTAGTTATCTTGTAGTGCTGAAAGAATCAACCTCGCGGATTACCTTTAGAACATAGGATGCAAACAAAAAGGGCTGTTAAATGTTGTCACGAAAACGTTTCCTTTAAAATACTGGCCTGGCGTGGTATGCTTGGGTCTTTAACTCCTCAAAGTCAATCTCCTTCCCGTGAAATTTTCCACCTGCATCTGGTTTGCTTAGTGTTATCATAACACCATGAGAATATAAACATTATTGAGAGTTATATTTGATCAGCTGAATGAAAACAACACTCGTTGGATCAAAGTTTGAACATTTGTTACCTTTCAAAGAGCCCAATCAGCTGAATCAAAGTATGGTTGCTCATAATCCTTATATAAAACAACACACCACAGAAACACAAAAAAAAAACTCTTTACATGTAGATAAAATGAACCAACCTTGGAAATCAGAGGTGCTTTCTTTGCCATGAGCTCTCCATACGTGTTCTTTACAGCAGCTTCTTACTCAATACTTTTAAAGTTACTCGGTATTAGATAATTTCGCTAGTGAGTGAGATAAGATAGAGACACATGAATGCATGAGATAAGATAGAGACACATGAATGCATGAGATAAGATAGAGACACATGAATGCATGAGATACATATCCAATGCTTTAAGATAACATTTTAAATATGCAATTAGCATAATGAAAGTCTTGTACAGTCATTAAAATTGTGCTGGCCAAAGCTCATCGTTTTTGCTTGAAACACTACCAAAGATCATCTATAATAGTATATATACATAAACAAAAAGCTGACAAATTAGTTATAAACCAAATTAGGACTCTCTGTCATATTACCTTGTAAAGAAGAAACTTGTACTCCAGAAGTTACATTGTAAGAGTGCTGCAGCTTGTCACTAATAGCATTGATTTCAAAAAGTTCATCTTCTAGCTCTCCAAGCTTGACCTGAAAAGGTGAGAGAAGTAAATCAAGTCTTGGAGGAGTAAAATTGGGTAACTTGGTCATAACAAACCTGGTTTACTTGGTCGAGTTTTCTGATATTGTTCAAGCGTACATCTGGAAATCATCTTTCAACAGAGAGAGAAAGATTGGAAGGAGATGCTTAATCGCTGCATCCTGCAATGAAAAATCGATGTACAAGTTAAAATCGCATCATCCACAATCAATCAAAATCTCTCTGTTATGAAATCCACTTTGATTCACCACAGACGATAAGGGTTATGAGCACTTTGCAGCGACAAATATTGAACGAAAGGGTAATTTAAACACTAATCCACATATCTCTCATCACTGTAGAGTCAACACCCATCTATATTTGCAAACTTTTTTACAATTTAAAAAAAAAAACACAAAATAATGGGGTAAAGCCCAAACATTTGAGGCCCAAAAACGAATATGCTAACATGGACTATCTGACGTGGCGCCTACGTGGCACTCTAGAATAGGAGTGAAACACAACTTTATATAATCGATGAAGAGGTAATCTAGTGTTTAATATTGAGATGCATATTATGCAATAGGCCTAAAGAACTCCATTAAAAGACTTATTACCTAGTAGGCTTAGGTCCCACAGCTTCACAAAGCACATAGAGCTAATTTGCTACCATAGAACGCACTCGCCAAGACTTATCCTGCTCAGTAACAAAGTAAAATCTCTGCAGAAGAACTCTAGTCGAACTGAAACAAACGTCAGATTCCACCAGAGATTGGATGTTGTTTATCGTCTCTCGCCAAAATAGGAAGAACCCTGAAAAATCTTGAGTCGCCATCCTCGAAAAAGGGGATCATGTGAGAAGACGAAGGTGAAACAGGTTAAACTTTGTTACAATTTTCAAAAAAAAAACACACAAAATAATGGGGTAAAACTCAAACATTTGATGCCCAAGAACGAATATACTGATAAGGACTATCTGACGTGGCGCCTACATGGCACTCTAGAATAGGAGTGAAACACAACTTTATATAATAGATACGAGGGATTTGCTGATAAATTCATAAATTTAAAACACAATTTGTGCAAGGTCCTCAGATGAAACACTTTAAGGGTCTAAACTTTGCAAGGCAACAAAAGGAATAAACATTTTATTATAACCAAGCACTGTGACAATTACATTAGGCTTCACATATCTTCATCTATATCCTCTTCACCACATCCATTCCTTTTTTTTTCCTTACACAATGAATATTTTCAAATACATAACATAACAAATAAACAAAAAAGGGTATATATGAAAGAAAAAAAGTATCAGGTTCATCCAGCTGACGTCCATTTTCACGTAGCGAGGATAACATTTTGTACCCAGTCTATAGACCAAGACTAGTCTCGAGCTTTTGAGGTCCCTCTAGAAACTGCTGCTTCCCCTGTTGCTGGGACCAGTAGGCATGAGCCATCAGTACCCTGTCTAAGAGCTCCTGTGGAACTGGCTCACCTCTCCTTTGTTGCGGCGAGATTCTTGCTGTGTGCACCAGCGTCTTCCATTTGTCCTATTTATCATTCACATCAAACCCAAATAAAATATCTTCTTGCACAAGCAACATACCTCACTTAATTTTTATATTACCTTCAAATCGACATAAGTGCGGTGCTTTGCATTATCAAAAGCTCGCAGCTTAACATCACGCCACCTGCAGATAGATATGCGTAGCAGTATTAGAACTTTCTTGAACCATTAAGGTTTTTAGTTTTGGTGTAACATTAGCAAATCAATCACCTTCCGGTCCCAAGTCTCTCCACAGCTTGAACAAGGACCTCTACTTCTGCAACAGAGAAAGGTCGACGGATTCTGCGCTGAGCCACCTCAGACCGCTTAGGTTTCCGAGGTGGGACTACGTTTAAAGCCTGAGCATGCAGAGGAGGAGCTAAAGGAATCAAAGCTCTGGAGTAGACTGGTTTAGCCCTATTTGGTGCAGAGGGTTTGGAGTCAAGGTCACTTTCTGCAGAGTTACTAGGTTTAGCATGTTTTCCTTGTGATGGGAGACACCTAATAGACAAACTAAAACATTAGGAAAATGTTTTTTTTTCTACACCAAAAAGAAACAAGGAGTAAGACTGACCTTGTTAGAGTGTGAGGTATATTACATGGACGCACAAAATCAGAATCTTCAGGAGACAGCGGTTTTACTGATTGTGGAGGGTTTGGCTCAAGACAAAAGCCTAAGGTGTCTGAAAGAGTGTCTAGAGAGATTCCACTCTGAAGAAGCATTTTATTGTCGTCTCTAACTTTTTTCCCATGAACAAGAACACCTACGCGTAGTCCACCTTCAAGTATAGTGGTCACAGCTTCCAAGACTGTCCTCTAGCGAACATAAGTAACTTCTCATCATTATCCAAAAATATTAATAAGTATCTAAGCAAAAATTTTCAAACCTTTAGAGAACCAACGGTAGCAGTCTCTGGAATCTCAATGAAAAGTTCAGGAACTTTAAATGACTTGATTCCAAGTTTCACTAATCACATCAAAGAAAAATTAGCAAAGTCAATACAAAACTCTTGATTGATGGAAACAAAAAAAAAATTTAATAGAAAAAGATACCATGAGTATCTCTTGATAGTAAAGCTGGCTGCTTCTGATAAGCTATTGTTGACATAAAAGCTGAAGCTGCCAAAAAAAAAAAAAAAAAGAAGCTCAAAGTCATTCATCATGATGCAGCTTTGAGGTTAAAGCTTAAATGACTAGCTTCTGATTATACCTTTTCGAGGTGTTTCTTCTGATTGTGAGGCTGTATAACCATCAAAGTATCTTCTTTTCTTGATTGGATATCTCCTCTCTGATCTTAAGCTTTTTAGACAATGTTTCGTGTTGTAGTAACCAGGCTTCAAGTCTAAGTCTAAACATATTTAGAAAAAAATAAAACATAAGTAAACCATAAACATCGTCAAAACAACACGTATATGCTCACCCGAACTAGTAACCGTTGTCTCTTTCTGCTTTGAAGAGACTTTACAATACTTCGAAGCCAAAACTTTCTTTATTCTCTTATCTCCTATTCGAAGAGTCGACCTAAATGTTTTCGTTGTGTAACGTGCTGAGTAGTTTTCGCCATCATCATTGAGTAAATCTATATCATCAGCGCACACCGAAGGAGGAATCGGTTTCTTGAAGCCACTACCTATATGATGCTTATTCTCGGCAATAACATTCCTTGTTTCACAATTATTTAGACTCCCATGCATTGATATCTTATCATTAATCTCTGACCTAAAACAAACACTCTGACCTAATTCTTGGGTGCCAGAGGAATCAGAAGTTACACCAGAGGTAGATCCAAAATAGAAATCTTTAGGAGGACTTGGAGATCTATGAAATTTTGGAAGGATCTCGGAGACAAAGAATCTCCTCTCAGCATTGTTGTCATGAACATGATCACAGTTAGTCTCTTCTACAACCGTTTGATCGCGTCCATAAAGAAGTTCTTTCTTAACAGCACACTGATCTTCTTCATTAGTATCCCCTATGGCGTTGTTACTTGAGGAAGAAGAATTCCCACCACTTTCAAGAAGAAGGTTACCAGCTACTGCAGCCAATAAATCGAAGGAAGATATTTGATTTTTCTTGAAAGCACTCTTCTAGCAAAAACCACAAACACAAATTATCAGAGGGGAAGAAGAACCCTAGAACATACAAAAAATGTTGGAAAAAGACAAAGTTTATGAATCTATTACTCTTGGTGATCTTGTAGCTCGAGGTATAGGAAGCCCCTCATAGCCATTGAATCCATAATCTAGCCTCTTATGCAACACCATGATTTCAAGAACAAGATTGAGACATTCAACAAAAGGAATGATTAGTTAACCTTGACAAGAACACCCCTGCACAAAGACAAATTAGGTTAATTAAATTACTGATTTAGAATATTCCAACAGATTCCGTAAGACATTCTCACATTCTACAAGCACTAGTTTCCAATTTCTGAGAGGACATTTTGTAAAACCTCGCTAGAACCTAACTCATTTCTTTTTACCAAAATCTAATGCTACATATACACTTGATGTTATAAGAGAAAACATTAAGACATAGCTCAGACAGAAATTGCTATTACCAAGAAAATACATTTTCAGGGAAACAAAATCATTTCAGGTTCAAAGAAACGAAAATTCAACATAGCCCCGTTCCGAAGATCCATTTCTTGTTGTATGTTCTGTAACCAGAAATCGACCCCAAGAAAACCAGAAAAATTCTCACCGTTTTCTCTGAAACAAGGCAGGCAAAGTCTCTAATGAAAAGCACGACGAAAGGTATAAGGAAAGGCTTCTCTCTTTTTTGGTGTTGAAATTTTGTGAAAATAAAAAACCCCTTTTGAATGTGTGGAATCAAAAGAAAGAGTATGGGACGTGACAAAGGGCTTAAACCCCCCTGGGTCTTATACCAGTAACATCGGGACGTGTCTGAAGAGCGAATAACCGGCTATTACCAGTAAAACCCCATCCATTACCCCCCTGAAGACTTGTTCTTCTTCTCTTTCTTGGGTGACCCACCACTGTCTCACGAACTTCCTTCACCTTCGGACACGTGGTGTCTCTGTCGGATCGTGCGTCTTATTCACCACACACATACTTCGACAAAAACGTTCAGTCACAAAAGCCATTGTAAATGGTTTTTCTTTAGTCCAATCCATGTCATTCTTTTCTTTTACTATTGTCTTTTTGCAAATTTTCATCTATTTGCAAATTAATAATCCAAATAAGCCTAGGCCCAAAACAATAAAACAGAGCTTTTCTTACCATGAAATTCTCAACTTACATAGATCTATACAATTATTTAAGAATTAAATTTGTTTAGTTGTCATTTTCTCCATAAATTTAGGTAATTTTATTTATTTATCATATTTATATTATTATATATAATTTATTTATAAATAAAACGAATTTATATGAATATATCATATTCCAGAAAATAAGATAATTCTTGTGTATTATCTAGAAATATATTTTAAGAATTATCTTATTATCTAGAAATATATTTTTATATATAAAAATTAAAAAGATAATTCTTATGTATTATGTTGTTATGTTGAAAATATATTTTCCTATTATAAAACTTAAAATTAAGATATAATAATTATATTATTAATAATTAAATTTATATTTTAGAAAATAAGTTAATTCTTATGTATTATGTTGTTATCTTGAAAATATATTTTTATTATAAATTTTAAAATTAACATGTAATAAATCTATACTATTATTTAAGAAGTGAATTTGATGTTTGTTGATTTGTCATATTTTTCATGATTTTAAGTAATTTTGATAATTTATCATAATTTCTGTAATTTTATATATAATTTATCTATCTATACTATTATTTAAGAAGTAAATTTGCTTAGTTGTCATTTTCTCCATAAATTTAGGTAAATTTGTTTATTTATCATATTTATATTATTATATATAATTTATTTATAAATAAAACAAATTTATATGAATATATCATATTTCAGAAAATAAGATAATTCTTGTGAATTATGTTGTTATCAAGAAATATATTTGAAGAATTATCTTATTATCTAGAAATATATTTTTATATATAAAAATTAAAAATATAATTCTTCTGTATTATGTTGTTATATTGAAAATATATTTTCCTATTATAAAGCTTAAAATTAAGATATAAAAATTAGGTTATTAATAATTAAATTTATATTTTAGAAAATAAGTTAATTCTTATGTATTATGTTGTTATCTTGAAAATATATTTTCTATTATAAAATTTAAAATTAACATGTAACAAATCTATACTATTATTTAAAAAGTGAATTTGATGTTTGCTAATTTGTCATTTTTTCATGATTTTAAGTAATTTTGATAATTTCTCATAATTTCTATAATTTTCTATATAATTTATCTATACTATTATTAAAAAAAATTATATTAATAGTATCGGATTCTTAAAAGATAAGATATTTCTTATGTATTAAGTTGTTCTCTTGAAAATATATTTAAGAAGTGAATTTGCTGATTCATTAAGTTCTCCGTGATTTTAGTTAATTTTAATTATATATCATAATTTTGATAATCTTATATAATTAATTTTATCATATTATATTTTTAGAAAATAAATAACTTATGCATTATATTGTTATCTTGAAAAATATTTTTCTATTATAAAATTTAAAATTAATATATAAAAATTACAATTAAATATAAAGTAAGTAAATAATTTGTATAAATCTTATAATTAAATATAAATTAAGAAAAATAATTATAGAAATATATTATTTTAAATATATCTGACGTTTGAGTTTTGTCATTATAATTATTTGATGTTGGATTTGTACTTTTTTAAAACATAAATAATGACTTATTATGCTGGTCTTTAAATTAATGAAACATCAATTAATAAATATTTAAGAATTGAATTTTCTGATTCATTAAGTTCTCCATGATTTTAGGTAATTTTAATTATATGTCATTATTTTGATAATCTTATATAATTAATATTTTTTTATCATATTATATTTTTAGAAAATATATAACTTATGCATTATATTGTTATCTTGAAAATAATTTTTTCTATTATAAAATTTAAAATTAAGATATAAAAATTACAGTTAAATATAAATTAAGTACACATTTTGTATAAATAATTAAATATAAATTAAGCAAAATAATTATAGAATTATATTCTTTTAAATATTTCTGATGTTTGAGTTTTGTCATTAATAATTATTTGATGTTTGATTTGTACTTTTTGAAAACATATATAATAATTTATTATGCTGGTTTTTAAATTAATGAAATATCAACTAATAAATATTTATAAGGAAATTAGGCCCGCAAGTGCGGGCAAAACCCCTAGTATATGTATATATAACAAATAATATTTAATTAAGATACTTACCAATTGTTGGTTGTGTTTATAAGAATTTTTAGATACTTACCTATTTATTTATAATTAGACCTGGATCCGTGCAAAAACACAGTTTTATTTTATTTGATATTTTTATGACGAAAAATTAAAAATGAAAAACTTTTAAATATTTTTGTATATATTAGTATTAGACTTATTAATAAACAATAACTTGGTTTCTGCCATTACGTTTGATTAGTGTATATGTTACAGTAGTTACGGTGTTTCAAAATATGTTTTCTTTAATTCAAATTATTTTAAAATAATATTAGTCATATGTAATTTTATTATATAAAGTAGAATTTTCTCTATTTTGAAGCTGCCATAGTGCCATGTCACTAATTCGTTCAATCTCAGCACGACACATGTCTTCTCTATTAATAAACTATATATCAAACATGTATTAAAATGAGAATAACAAGCCTTATGGGGCTGTCCACGTCATCTATTATATTCGACCAATCACATTATATCGTTCGGCCACGTCATCATTGGTTTTGATTTTTTAGGCTTCAAAACTTCTCGGCCCGTTTGTTGTTTTATAATTTGTATTCGTTTTGATTGTTTGGGCTTCGAAACTTCACGGCCCGTTTGTTGTTTTTTAATTTGTTGCGAATCCCAGACCTTACCACTGACTTCTTATGCTCGCAGACTCAGATTCATCAAACCTAATTTAAAGCAAAAGGGTTTGTTTTCCAATTGATCTTACGAACCCTAATTTGCCTCCAGTAATCGTCGACTTTTGCCCTCCCTCTTCTGTGTTCCGTTTCTCTCATATCATCACTAGGCTCCCCACTTTTCTACCCCCTTTAATTCCTTTACTCCCTTTATTTTTTTTGATGAATTCTTTTCGTTTCCATCAAAAAGTCGTTGTATCTTCTCTATATTATACTGCGATGTCGTTATCCGGTGATCACAAATTGATGAAGGCCAATAGCAAATCGGCGATCTCTTCCTCTGGTCATGGCAAACTCATAAGGAAAACGGAGTCTCATCCAGCATCTCCACCGGCGTAAGGGGAACGACCGCTGTCTCCCCCGGCGTCACCCATGATATTGGGGCACTGATGTCCTTCAAAGACGTTTTGTTGGGGCCCCATGAAGGCGAGGTTAGGTTTCGGTTGTTCCACTTCTGGGAGGCTCGGAATGCACAGACGAAGGTGCTTATCGGTCTGGAAATGCTTCTCCTTGACGAAGAGGTATAACACGCAAACTTTTCAATATTAATTTAGAAATCGTTTGGTTGATATGGTTAGAAAATAAGTTTGTTATCTCGGTTTCGAAAATCATCGCTTTCACGTTTTCATTAAGTGCATCTATATAGTTGGGTTTTGTTGATTTGTGGGCTTTATTTTCTTACTCAATAAACTCAACCCGCACGGGAGTTATCATGTGCATCTCATCCCGCCCCGCATCCCAAGTTAGGGTTCATCATGAAACCGGTGTAAAGAATCTTTTTCTAGGGTTATCCCCACGTCCTTTGCTCTTCTCCTAATCAACCGCCCTCAGTTACAGATCAGTCTTTTTAAACATCTTCTTTAATCTATGAACCACGATCATGCCTTCAATTTGAATTTATCTGAGAGGTGGTCTATCTGCGAGTATTAATAGGTATGTCTGTCTCCTCTTAAAATCACATTCTCAATCTCTTGAAACACAATTTTTTTTTTAAGATGGCAAGCTCCTCTGACACCTCATATTTTGGTGTAGATTCTCGTTCGGTGTTGTAAAGAACATCCAGATCCAATAATCTTCGATCTACACCAGCCATAGTTGTGATTCTTCCCAGAAAGATCAACCAACAGTCAGATGTTCCAGTTTCCTGAAGAAAGTTGTGTTGTCCAGATTCAGGTACCGATGCGGCCACATTTTCTGCTCTGAGCAACGTTACTCAGATCGCC